TACTACTACTTTCTACTTACTACTTACTACTACTTACTACTTACTACCTACTTACTACTTACTACTTACTACATACTACTTACCCCTTACTGCTTACTACTTACTACTTACTACTTACTACTTACTACTTACTACTTACTACTTACTACTTACTACTTACTACTTACTACTTACTACTTACTACTACTACTACTGCTGCTGCTGCTGCTGCTACTACTACTACTACTACTGCTACTACTACTCCTGCTGCTGCTGCTGCTGCAGTATCGGCCCCACTCCCCCAAAAAAGAAAAACATGCCACACGGACATTCCGCACCCTGGTAGCCTAAGCCGGCACATCCACAACCACAAAGTGGGCGGGAAGTGTATACATAGAAATAAATGAACAATCAAATGGACACAAAAAAGAATATATATATATATACCTATCTATCTATCTATCTATCTATCTATCTATCTCTCTCTCTCTCTCTCTCTTCTTCTCTCTCGCTCTCTCTCTCTTTTCCTCTCTCTCTGTGCTTGTTTGTTCCATTCGTGTTAATATGTGCGGTTGCTCTGTCCGTCGTTATCGATTTGGTGCTCAACCTGGCCTCTCCAGCCAGGAGTGATCCGCGAGCCAAGTGAAGACATCTGGAGGTCTGTACACTGCAAAGGCTTGCCGACGGATGAAGGCCCGGCTTGATCGAGAAGGGGGATGCGTTGCAGTCAAACACAGGGCCACACGGCAAGTGTGTCAGTTCGCGCTTGCGCTAGCTGCATGTGTTTTGCTATTCATTACATTGTGTAATGGGCATACGTACGTGCGAGAGTCACCGTGATACATCAAACCGTATGCCGGTTGCAGCCGCCACCACATAGGAAGACATGTTCGTTCATATTGAGAAGAGCTCGTGTAAAAAACACCCACAGGCAGTGATTCAACAATGCCTGCTCTTGATAGTGCAGAATGCAGAGCTATGCAGAGTTTGGGGTTCTAGGTCCGTCCACGGTCTACATCGAGTTCCAGCGACCCGGTCAGCCTGACGAAGCAGTTGCACCACTGCTTCGGCAAATTGTGCCCGTCCCTTGCCAGCAAGACACTGAGTTGAAGATATGCGTGAGCTGGGCGCCATTGAGGTGGATTTCCTTCCAGGCGAGCCACTTGTGAATGGGCGGCCCCCGGTTTTTTGCTGAGTGGGCGACAAGTGATTGGGGCGAGAGAGTCTTGCCGAGCTGGACTTCTAGCAACGTCCGCGACACGAATTTGAGCAGGTGCCTTCGTGTGTTCCCTCAGCGTGGGCAGCAGCTTGGATGATTTGGCCCAACTGCCAAAGATGCTGACAGTGACAGTATGTGACAGTGACTTATCCTGCCGTACCGTGCTCGGATTCATAAATTGACAGCACGTAGCGAAGGAAGACAAGCCTGGAACAATTTGTCCTTGACCTTGCAGCTCGGTTGCACTGCAGAGTCCCCGGTAACATGCATTCTGTCATGGTTCCAATCCAGTCCAAAGCTTTGTGGAGCGAAGGTCTGGAGCAGCAATGGCCCTGATCCTTTTCGACCTGGGTCCCCGGTTGTGAAACTGCTGTCGGATTTTCAGTTCAGGCTGCAAGTTCCGTTTTTGCGGCCCCCAAGACCCGTGGCAGGTTTCCACTTGGAGTACTCTCTGCAAGGCTCCGGCCCCAGTACTTCCTTCGGCCTCTTTCCGTCTGCTCCCGCACAGCCTTGGCACTGAATGAATTACGTAGATTGTAGTACATTAGCTGATTTATGTTGTATTGTATGGTGTTGCTATTATTCTATTATACTATGTTAGAGTATTTTGTTATATATGTTCTACTTATAAGTTCAATTGTATTTATGTCTTATTCTTCGTGTTTCTATCTACTTATTCTGCATGCATACATAAATTTACATGCTGCCGCTTCAGGCACCCTCCTCAAGGACTGCGAAGATGTCCTCAGCCTCTCGAAAGAAATTCAGCTCTCTTGTTGCCCATTGGTTGCTCGAGGACCTGTTGCAAATACAGGTGTTGGAGTGCTGGGCACCGGCAGAGGACACATTTGTTTGGCTGGCCATATCATTGTTTCAATGTTAGCGGCAGTGGAGTGCAAACATACGGCCTCGGATGCCGTCCTCGTCAGCTCTCCAACTGGGTCGCAGTGCCCTGCAACCCCTGTCATGCCTGCGACCTGTCGCGCACATAGTCTCTGGGCCAGGGTTACCATCGAACAACTTGTTGAAACGGCTGATCATGTTCGGACGTTATGTGCTCCGGGAGAAGGGAGCAGGGCGCAACTACAACTTGGAGAGCCTGAACATTCTCAGAAGCCGGGACAATGGGACTGCCAGCTCCCCTTGGCTACCGCCCAGGCGGCCGCTGCCTGGAGCTCGAGCCGCGAGACCGCATCAATGTCCGGTCGGCCTTTGGGGCTCTTTGGCTGACTTTGGCATTGCGACGTTGGCAGATGGCCTAGATCTCTTGAAGTGTTTGGAGCGGCGACCGAGTCCGAGGTCTACCTCGCCATGCTCGGTGCTGCCTGCGATGCTGTCATAATTTGCATCCTTCTATCCCTGAAGTAGAGTGGTAGAGGCCGAAGTTTTCAAGACGACATCGCTTCTGGAAATGTCTCCCACTGCCTACATGGAGCTGAGCAAGCTCTTGAAGGGAGCTGCAAGTCTCCGAGATGAGAGTGTGGTCAGAGCTGGGGAGCCTTCAAACATGCAAAGGCTAGGACTTGCAAGCCTTGGCACTTGACACTTTACATTCTATGGGCTGCGTCGTAACAAACTCTTTGGCCTGGTTCAGGTTGGCTCAAGGAACATCCATGTGACATGTGAAGCCCTGGCAGATGCATGACTCCTCCCAGTAGAGATTGTTGCAGCTTATCATGGTGTTCGTGACCAACTGCATCTGCGCACCATAAGATGCCACGTATCCTCAAGGCCAAAATTGTCGTCCGCCTCCGCATCTCTGAGACGAGTGGCGAAACCACGCATGCAAGCTTAGGGCTTTAGCATCCAGAAGCCTTCGCAAGGGAAACCTTCGTCGAGCCAACTGCCATGACTGCCTCGCAAGGAGTCTCCCAGGACCTTCCCGCCTTTGGCAAAAGATGTGCACTGTTTCCCGCAGAATTCCTGCAGGAAGCGGCGATCGCTGTGCTGGCCATCCTGGGAGCCAGGCCAGACTGAGACCCTGCCGGCTGCGTTCCGCCTCGGCCCTGCGGCTCAGGGATCACTACGCGGCCATCGATGCGCCGCGCGATGCTTCCGTGGCCGAGCTGCGGCGCTGCTATCTCAAGGTCGGGTTCCCATCACAGCATCCGAGTGGCGGAAGAGGGTCGAGAAGACGAGCATCGGGAATGTCAGAGGCTTCGGGCCTCGTCATGCAAAGCATTGCAAAGCTCAGGCCTCCATCCTGGTCCACCCAGATAAAAACTGCCACCCGGACTCCACCCGCGCTTTCCAGCGAGTGGCTGCAGCATGGGCCACCCTCTCCGACGAGGAGCCAAGCACCAGTTGCTTCCACATGGATGTTCTCAACGTTCGCTCTGGCAGGACAAGCGCCGTGCGTACGATCGCGAGCTCCTGGAAGGTGACCAGAGATCTCAGCAGCAACAGCCAGGTTTCAGCTTTCATAAGTTTCTTACCTAATGTCTTTGTCACAAGGTAGCAGCACCAGCCTGAGACAAGTAGTTGATACAGACTTGCTTCATGACAGACAATGGTATTGGCACGACGGCCTGATTGCAGGCGATGACATCCACATGACGCCAGAAGAAGCCTTTGCAGCTTTTGCCTTTGCTGCAGCTTGTGCAGCCAGTGGCACAGGGGGTGCTGGAGCTGCGTTTGGGGATATGGCCGAGACACTGCTTTGGGCACAGCAGCTGGGCCAGATGAATAGCTGTGGGCAGGGTCTGGCTATGCCAGTGCCCGGTTTCGGCTTCCCTTCATCCCCATATGCTTCATGTGCTGCACCAGCAGCTGGGTCTGTGGCTGCAAGCTTTGGTGGCATCGCTCTCTCCGTTGGTCTTTGGTCTGCGGGTCTGGCCATCAGCATTGTTGGTCTGCCGCGCATCGGTGGCTTCGCTAGGCCGATGGTGCCATCTTGTCATTGTGTCCTGTGCATGAGCAAAATCTGGCGCGAGCTATAGCACGAGCCACAAGAAGACCAACACGAGCACGCTAGGACCGCTAGGAAGCCTTCGCCGCACAGCTTTACACCCGCGGCACCGACCTGCGGCGAGGCGCTTGGCGCTGCTGCAGGGCATCAGCCAGATGGTCATCGCTTCGCAGGCCAGGAGTTCCGGAGGTCTGCAGCGCATACGGGGAGTTGTAAGAGGCAAGCGGCTCAAAGTGAGACTCCACTCCTTGGCAAAAGGATTGAAAGGAAAAAGGATCGAGCTCCTTGATAGGAGCATGAGGGGCTAAATGTTAGAGCACGGATTGTAGGGCTTCGCCGAAGAAGTGCCGCGAGGTGCCCGCTGTCCGCAGTGCTGCATGCGCAGCTGCATCGCTGGGAGCGGCCAGGGTGCAGCAAGCAGCAGGACTCCCCTCGTACAGAAGCTGTACGTCTGGAAGCTTTTAGCTGCCGCGATGTCAGCACATGTTCTGCCGAGAAATGGTGCAAGGAGATTTTGCGGACCAACATCCGCGAATTAGCAACATCGCCAGCAAGGCAGATCAATCCACTCAAACTGACCTTGCCAGCCTTTACAGCGTGAAAGAGAAGAGGCTAGCCATGTTTCCTGCTAGAATGGAGTCGAATCCGTTTTGGTGCGTTCAGGTCAAAGCTCGCAGCTTCGAGGCTGCAGACTCCCTGCGTCACATGGTGGACAACCACATCAGCATAGACCGGGGGATCTGAAACCATGAGAAGCCTGCACTGGCAAGCGGGATTCCGTCACGAAGTGCCGTTCGCAAGAAGATCTGCATCAAGCCACACAGACCCTTAGTAGAAGGTCGCTCGCCCCAAGATTGCCGAGAGGACATGGTTGGTGCAGCTGAGAAGGTGAAGGCCCGCGGCGGCGCGGCGGTGAAAAAGGCAGCACGCAGCCTCGAATCTGTCGACATAGCAACAGATGCTCGTAGGAGTCAGAAGCTTTCCAGACAAATGTTGCCGGAAGCAAAAACTTCACATTTCCAATGTATTGTCGCCCGCCCACCAACCCAATGCATAAGCTGCGGTGTACAAGGGGTTCGTTGCAGGTTCGTCGGCTCGTCGATCACAGCTGCGGCGCGTCTGACCTCTGGGCGGGACAATCCTGCTTGGGATGGAATGCCCAGGTGCAATGGCTGGACTCGTGCATGCGGACACGCATCGTCTGTGCTGTCATGTATATTGTAAGACTCTTAGGCAGCTAGGCGCACAGTCTACTTCGTTGGAGCATGTGGAAGCAAGACTTTCTGCGAGTCCCGTCGAAGGGTGCCGGTCATGGACGGCATATTGCACATGTTTCCTGCAGTTTTCTCTGTGGTATTCTACACCTGGAGTCGCTCGAGAAGATGTGAACATTTGCCGTAGGCTCACACTGGGTTCCTTGGTCGAGCGCGTTTGCAGTCTCCGCACCGTCTATCACAGACTCAATGCCTAGCAAGGGGGGGGTTCATCGAGAATCAGCCAAACAGCCGCGGAAAGCGATATCATCCCGAGGTGGCTAGGTTTTCTGCGCACTGGTTTCAAAGTCCTAAGCCGCAAGCAGCTCCTCGTAGCATGTTGCCTGTCACGGCATCTGTCACGGCATGGCCGTGGCCGGCATGTTTGAGCCAATAAGGAGAGCGACAGCGAGGAAGAGGACACGTGGTACGTCCAGAACATGAGGCTCAGCCGAGTCTCAACCTGTGCGGCAAAGCCCCCGCGCTGCGTTCCTCTGCAAGTTTGCTGCCGCCTTGAGCTTTGCACTGGATTACATGTCTTAACTGAACCGATCGCGCCCACAAGGCTTGTAGGCTAATCTGCAAAGGTCACGCTCCTTGCATCCATGTGGACAGGCTTCGGAGACAGCGCGCCTGGAAGCCTCGAGCAGGGACCTGGGTGAAGCTGTCCAATCTGCAGACGTGGGCTGCAAGTTCGAGTGAGACAGGGACAACCTGAAAAAACATTGAAAAACGATTCAACCATATCACCTGGCGGGCACTGATTAAGACGAATTGTCTCTCTGTTTCCCCAGGAGAGCTCGACACCTGGAAGGCTCCCTGGGCGAGGTTCTTGCTTTTGACCGCCGCTTGGCTTCGCGCTGACGAAGAGCAGACTCTCTTTAGAGCGGGGGGCGGGAGGGGATGCGTGTGGCACTGCCTCCTGATCACAAGGTGACAGCGGCCGTTACCTGGTGCAGCTTTTCGCTCCCCAGAATGCACCCATCTTCCATGGCGGCTGTCCAGAGCTACTCGGGCTTTGAAGTCACCGCGCAAGTTTCCAGAGGAGTTGTTGCGAATTCCTCGCAGTTCCCCGCGTTTGTGGGGAAGAGGGCTCGGCAGCCTCGGCACTGCGTAGAGTCGTAGAGCTTTGCCACGTGTTTGGAGCAGGCCACCAATCGTCTCCAAACTGGTGCTGTTGCAGATGCTCGGCTTTCGGCTTTGTGCACGCCACAGGTTGCAGGAAGACTAGCTTCGGATGATGTTGCGGGAGACGTCTCCTGACGTCTCTAACCTGAATGTCTCCCAAAGGCAGGCAAGCTTGCTGTTACACCGTCTGTTCATCGTGTTCGGGCTCGCGCGCACATACAATTGGTAAGGGGTGGAATCTTGATGTGGTTTCACTGCGGGCCAAGGAACCTGTGCCCTGCCTTCGACCGATCCTCCAAGCCGCCGGGCAGCGAAGCTCACTTCATCTGATCTGCGGGAAATTGAGCTCAGCGGTGACCGGCCGTACTACCGCAAAGCATTATGCAACATCCTAGCTGGAGCTGTTCTGAGTCTGAGAGCATTTGGGAACAATGTCCGCAGCCATCAGACTCAGAAATGTGTGCCATTCAGCACCGGCAGCGACATCCAGCGGGTTGGACGCCGGGGCAAGCCAACTGGCATGCGGAAATTGACGTAGTTTGAGGTGCTGTCATGTATCTATCCGTGGTCTATGTCGAAGTGCTCCCGAACACCTCAGTTCTGACAAGCTTCACATCACATACCGTGCCCATGGGCTCGGAGTCTGACTCTGCAGCTGAGAGCCAGCTACCGGCGGTCAGGTGACTCTTGAGGAGATTGGGAAGTCCTTTTCATTCCCTTTCTGCGAGATCTTGGCAGGGGCCCACGCGCTTCACGCGAGGCCCTGTTGGCAGACAGCGATGAGTCCCCCAAGGTGCTGCCAGCGCCTTCGGATCAGGGTCGGGTCGGACTTCGCTTGTAAGGCCAATCCACAAAACGCCTCGGCATTGCTTCGCGCAGTGGAGAAGCCCGGAGCAGAAGGCGCCGTTCGGAGCAGTGCTGCAGCCCTCTCTTCTTGCCTGTGCCCAGACCATCGCTCGAGCATCGGGACGGCGAAGAATGGAATGCTCGAGGCCACACATCTTCATTCAGAGACCTTTACCAGTCCAGTTATGCATCAAACACCAGCACCACAACAGAAGAAACGACTGTGCAGCTCGAGCGAGGGAACAGAGAGAGATGGAAGGGCAAAACCTGTCACCGACCTCCGAAATACTCAGGCTCATGGGGTGCTGAACCCTTCAGGAAGACCCGAAAGCTCCCTGTCATCACTCGCAGGCTTCAGAACCGGGAACCGGGAACAGTGAAGTGGCCCCGACCCTCCGTTGCAAAGTGGGCGTCCTGAGGATCGACAGTTGTAAAGTGGGGATTCTCACTTTCTCACATCAAAAGCAGTGTCCGTGATTGTAAAGTAGGGATTCTGGTTGCAAAGTGGGGATTCTGGTTGTAAAGGGGGNNNCGGGCACGCCCAGGTCCAAATATGCCGAATCCCTGTGACTGTGCATACTTCTTTTGGGGTGAGACCAGACCCAAGCCCCGAACCACACCGCACCACAGGCGAGGCGGGACTCCAAGCAGACCCAAATCCCGAACCACACCGCACGACAGGCGGGGGGTGGAGGTACCAACCATTGGGCGGGGCATATATGAGCATATATACCCATCCATGTATCGTCTGCTAGCAATGCTAAGACGTAATAACATCAAAATCCGGAGATGGCAACAGTTATGAGGAATTATGAGCAATTGAACTCCAATCGGCCCATTCCTGATGTTTGTGGGTATTCTTGAGATGTTGCCTTGATGCCAAGATCCCAAGCCTCGGTCCAAAACCGCCACGCTTTCATGCAGATTGCACGCTCGACTCCAAACCCCGCCATGGGAGGGAGGAGGGCCGGCTCCTTGTAGGTTGAACCACGAGGTGCAGCGCCCAAAAGGCCCCTGGTGGGGACAGTGTTTTCCTCCTCGCGGAAGGTCGATCCGCCTGGCTGGGGGTCCGTGCGGTCACGGCGGACAGGCTCGGATCTTCAACTCGCGGGCCAGGACGAGGTGGCGTGCCTCGCTCAAAGCCTGGCTGTGAACAGAGCTAAGCGGTACTTTCCTGATGTTTTCGTCCGCCAGATCTCTGCATGCCGATAACACTATCGGACAGTCTTTGCAACTTTGAGCCGCTCGAGGTCGGAGCTGCGTGCCCAGAGGTGCCGGCGAGGGTAGCACTTTGGAAATGAAGGTATGGTACAGCAGGTCTCCGTCAGCAACCGCAACTCCTTCCCCAGCAAAGCTCTGCGCAGAGGCTTGACATCGAGCAGCTGCAGCGGCACAGCTTGGCTCTGCAGGAAGAGATGGACCAGCAGAAGCAAGTCGTGAAGTGGCTGATGCTGCTCGATCTGCTTGCTCCGTGTATTTAGTACCCAACGCAGATTCGGATCCACGAAAACAGCAGTGTGTTTCAGTCGATGTTCGAAGCCAGAATGCAAACCTTGGTGTGCAGCTGCCACCATGCGGTCACAGGCTTTCCAACGATCAGCTCCTGGCAGTGGTCGAGGAGCAGCGCGCTCTCATCGAGCATCTACGCTGGGAGACCCGGCCTAGCGGGCCCAGGACAGCACGCCTTTTGAGTGATTGAGCATCCGTGCTCTTGAAACCCAATTTCTGGCGAGGATGGCGCCGCTTTCGCTTGGCGACATCAGTGAGTCTCAGGAAGCACTGAAGGCAAGCTCATCTGGCTACATATCACATGAAGAGGGTGGGTTATTGCGCTTAGTCATAACAAGATGCAGCGCCGCAAGACTGTTCCTGACATGGTCGAGGTGAACAGCTGGCACAAGTAGAGACCGTCCCAGTCTCCTGTCATGTGACTTAGCCAGGCGTTTCATCTGCAGGATCTGCTGCAAGAGCCCGATTGCCAATTATCAATAAGTTATCAACACCATACGCTCTGCTTCATCCGCGTAGCTGTGCAGGACTGTTCGAAGACGTGGACCTCCACCTTGCAGCAAAGAGAGGATGCAACTTGACAGGGAATGTTGACTCGAGGTTGCATTTTCATCGCAGGTAGTCGCGGGTAGGAAGAGAGAAGAGATTACTCAGGCATTGCAGCCTGTGGCCTTTGCGGCCAGCCAGGGGCAGCAGGCTTCCTCGCCTGAAGGTGCCCCTGCAATGTGCTGCATTTGGCCTCCTTCAGCTCCGCGCTACGTGCTACGCAAGGTGGGGCCTTGGAGGAGCTACCCACAAAGCCGCTGAGGACTGGAGTCCGAAGTGGCTTGGCGAGCAACAGCAAGAGAGCTTCCTGAGTCAGCTGTGCAAAGGCTCCTGCGGTATCCTGGGGCCCTAGGCCTTTTGAGCTTCGTGTGCGAATGAGAACTAGACCAGCAATGCGAAAGGCGAGATGGAGCCAGCCACCCGACCGAAAGCTGATGCCAAACGCCTCACAGATCTGGGGCGCATGCCGGGGTATCATGGCCCAACTGATTGATGGACCGTTGTTATCGGCTTCGGGCTTTCGTGCCGATGGTACAAGAGGTTCGTTATGGTTCGTTAGAAGGACTCCTTTATTTCTCGGCATGGTAGTGTGCAGCGGGCAGTTCATTCAGGAGTGTCTCGCTTTCGAGCTAAATTTCGCATGACGATCTCTTTTGACTCCTTCATGCGGTCCAATTTTTCAGCGTTCGGCTTGAAGCACCAGCTCACTGGGTGGTATGATGCACCGATGCACCGAGTTTTCCCCCCAGGAACAGCACTGGCTACGTCTCTTCAGACGATGAGGCCTACGAGATCCAAGTCGCAGGGAACAAGACCGCCTTGGTGCAGCCTTTTGCGCCTGCATTGTGAGCATGTGCCCTGAGCCCGTGGTTGAGCTGCATCACACGGCCGGTCTTCAGCATGGTTCTGAACATGCGATGTCGACAAAGCATGTGTGTGTGTGTGTCAGTGACAAGTTGGAAGCCAGCCTACGGTACTGGTGGGTGATTGTTTACACTGTAGAACTCAGCCCACCAGCCCACAGAGCCTGATCCTAGCCATACGAGAGGGGGAGGCCCGGCAAATCCCACGATGGGTTTCTAGACAGCGCCACAATGCCCCACAAGTCGTTCTCACATGTGCGCAGAACCAAGAGCCCTAGACCTTAATCACCCGGGCCAAAGATCTGCCCGGGAGCCATCCGATGGCTCCGAAACAGCCGCCGAGACCTCCGGACCAGGAAGAGGTCGCGTTGAGGAGGGCTTCTTCGGATGTCGAGATGTTTCAAGCTCGGTAGAGATGCAGGAGGCAGCAAGCTGTCGACTTGCCCGGTTGCGGTAGTCCCTTCTGTCAGGCAGTCAAAGATACCTTTGTCTTATTCTACGGCCGGTTAGTGGGGACGCGCTCGAGAGATACAGGCATTTGCTTGACTGGGAATTTAGTTGACGACCTTGGCCTTCTGGTTCTGGACCGTCCGATCGCAGAATTGCGCTTGATGGGAAAGGCCTTCAAAGCTTTGTGGTGCTTCGCCCCGTCTCAGCGGATTTTATGTGGATGTATGAGGTGGCATTGCTAAGGAGAGCCCTGAAAAGCGTAGCGAAACTGCCACCTGCTGGCAGACAGCAGATCTTGCCTTGCTGTGGTAATTGCGTATCCCAGCTCGGAGGTGTCTTGGAAAGTGGTCATCCTGGTTTACGCGATAGTCTCCATCTGCTGTCTCTATGTCGGTGGGCTTTACTATGGCACCAAGGAGCCTCTGAGCTTGTGCTTCTAGTTGGATAGTGCCGCGACGTGTCTTCTTCCGCCAGTGGTATATCATCAACGATCTGAGAGAGTGCTTGTTTGGGCCAGCTGGCAAGTCTGAATGTCCATGGGCTCCGACAGGCCTGGGCCGTCCGGTCTGAAGAAGAGCTTCTGCAGGCCTTCCTGTGCCCACTGCATGCGAGCAGAAAGTCAGGCGAGGTGTGAACAGTTGCTGTGAGAGGCCAGCGTGCTGCATCCTCTCTTCAACACTGAGGAGAGGTTTCCACGAAGTTAGGTGCGGACAGGGACAGTTGTTGATCTAACGTTCCTAACGGCTTGGCCACGTCGGCTGTTGTCAAAGAGCAGAAACAGGGGGACCTGCTTTGATTCCTCGATGGGGCGTTCTCGAACTTTTCAGAATGGCATCCGTGGTTGGGGTTTCTAAGGGGGTTTCTCTCTGAACAGGTCTGTATACAGAGTTTTGAGAGAGAACATAGGTACTGTCTTTTGTTTATCACATTTTGCCTCCCCAACAATTTGTAAGGAAGAAGTGCGATTGAAGCAAGGGGGCACGAGGGGCCGTGAAGGGGAACAGTTAGCGGAGAGTGCGGGCTGAACATGGCTGGTCTACGCATGCAAGGAGCACTTTGCGCCGGAGTACTGGCAGGCTTCTATGCAGCAACTCGGAAAGCACTTGCAATGTTGATTCCTGACATGTATTCAGTTCGGTCAAGCCATGCCGGAGGCTCTGCATCACTGAACAGGAGAGGAAAGAAGCAAACCTTGTGCACTGGCAGTACTTGAGCCCTCAGCTGAGCACCCCGCATACAGCGGCGAGGCAGAAGGATCGTCTGGAGGCACTGACAACCGCAACACATGCGACTGCCCAAGCTCTGCAAAGCGTCGGCGTGCCCGCCTTCCTGGAGTCTGCTGGACTGCCGCTCTTCTTCATCCAGTAAGGCTCGCAACCCCGCGAAGATGGGAAAAGGAAAGTCGCTCCGTTACATGGCGCCACTAGATTCAGACCCGCTAAGATGCGAATTCGGGGAGTTGCTTGATTGATCAGCGGGAGATCTAGAAGAAGGCTTTACAGAGTGTAGGCGGGGAAGGAAGCTGTCGGTGCAAGGCCCCAGGACGCCAGGCACTCGAGTCAAAAGAAGAAGATGTCAATTCAAAAGTGAGCCTTCGGATTATATGCTGTCGAGAAAATCTCGTAGCCATGCGTCCCCTGTCGAACTTTGAGGATCGGCTGGCTGCGACACAATCGGTCACAGCTGCCTTGGGACTCCGATGGTGACCTTGGAATCCTCGAAGCCGCTTCTCGGCTGCCTTCGACCGGGGTGGTCCTAACACCTTGCCAAGCTATCTAATCTCCTATTATGTTCATTCCATAAACTCTAGCTGAAGTACCCGCACGCAATCGAGAGATTCAGCGGCGGTTCCCGTCCTCGGACATCGGTTGTGACAATCAGGGAGGCCAGGCCTTCACGACCAGAAGCGTCATCTTGTTCGCCCAGCTGTGAGGGTCGAAACCCGAACTGGTTTTGCAGTAGGGACTTAGTCCTCCAGTCTTCGCGACGCATCATCCCCGGTCTCGGCTAGGACTGCATCCAAGCTGGTGCCAGCAAGGCCAGGGCTCTCTTGTTCTCACAAGAAGCAGTTTAGCCCTCGGGCTAACTACACTACACGTCTCTGGTGATGTTCTGATATCCCGGTCGTGGAGATTTAAAGGCATTTGACATATTACCTGAACGCAATATTCGGTGCAGGAGTCGCTGAGCAAAGCAGTGGGAGAAGACTTCGCGGTGCTCAAGTTTGCGTGCACTTGCGAAGAGGTCGGGTGTCGAGCGGTGCTTGTTCCCAATTTTCGGGGGCCGGTGAAAAATCGATCTAGAGTGACCACCACCATACATGCAGCCGGTTCGCATTTGCACTGATGCGCTTGTAGGACTGCGCCGGTGACAACAAGCGTATGGTCGGCCGTGTGGCTCACCGGACAACTGGTGCTTGGACCTCGGATTCCCTGCAGGCTGCTGAGGAGGGCCCGTCGTTTCGCGCCCAGGTTTGCATCGACATTTTCGCGTATGCCCCGGTCAAAAAGAGCCGAGCATGGCAGAAGGACCAGACACTACGGATGTGGTGCCACTAGGAGTTACCAGTCACCAACATGTCAAGCAAGATACGCTAAAATTATCTCTACCTGCAGTTTCCTGCAACTTCGGCTGGCAGACCCAGATCCCCAAGCCAACGGCGAGAATCTCGAACAGGAGCAAAGGTACTCAGACATTGAGTGGTGGGAGCGGGTCAACGACCATGCTGACTTCACGTTCCTTTGAAGTAGTAAGGCTTATGTTTCTCACATCTTCAGCTTGGCACATTAGAACACCTGATTCTCTCTTCTCCTGCACATCAGGTTTCCCAAAGACTCCTTGCTCCCCCTGCAGCAAGACACCTTCGCGGGCGCACCGAATCTAGGTTGAACTTTTGAAGTTTTGCACGATCCTTGCTTGTGGTTTGAATTGTAGCAGTGTTTCACTTTCGCGGTTGAGCGTCGCAGTGCTCCTTTGCACTCCGGGTTCCACAGACCACAGGCACGGGGGCGACAAGCAGCAAAAGGAGGCAGCCCCATGCAGCAATGCATGTGCCGAGGGGCGAACAGCAAGGAGGGCCAGCCAACGATCAGATCACTCGCTTCTATTGACTTCTATTGGACGGAGCCGAGGTGATTTTGGTGACAAAGCATGCAACATTTCGCAAGGATCAAAAAAGGTAGACTCAGAGGAGAAACGAGAAGCAAGGTTTTCGGCTGGAAGTAAACGATGGACAAGTGAGGGTTTGACTATAAACCCACGGGGGACAGAGCCACCGCAAAGAATCTTCAATCGGTGTGGGTTTGCACAGCCTCGAGATTTTGCCAAGTGGTCCTGGCACGAGTCTTGAAGTGACTGTTTCTTAGGATGACGATCCCTGCAAAGCCACGGGACTCTTCGGCTTGAACTAGAAGAGCCAGGATAAGTTTTTATGGCAGGGCATGTTATCTGCGAGCCTTCCAATTGATGCCCTTCTTTCCCAGGCCGACAGGCTCATGCCCATGAGCTTTGTGCAGACCCGGAAAACTATTTACAGAGAGAGAGAGAGAGAGAGAGAGTCTCCATAACGCGACTCAGGAGTTTCTCAGCTGGGAGTACGGACAATGCCTGGGCGCGCACGTGTGGCCCTGGAGGTCATGCTATCGACGAACAATACAGCGGAACTGAAGTGGGATTTGCTAATCTGCTACAGCAACGGAGAGTCTGTGCAGGATTCTGCTGTACTCGCCTTCCAGCGACACGCTGGCATTCATCCTAGCAGCGAAGGGGGCCGTCTTCATGCTCGGAGGTGCAGGAGCAACGGCTTGCTGCTGAGTGTCTTTGCCGAATCCTTACAGTCTCGTGGATGTTGGGCGGCTTCGGTCACGAAGCTCGGAAGGCACAGCAACAAAGACTGAAAAGCACCGATGCGGCCGTGCATGTTCAAGTCTAGAGTCGGTAACAAGGCAGATATCGGGAGAGAGAAATCAACAACACTAAGACCGAAGTGACGACAAGAAAGATGTGCCGCTGTTGCCAGGAATGGATGCTCTGCCGGCAACGATGGTGATCTTTTGCTCTGCAGCAGCGGTGACTTTCCTGAGGCAGCCGGGTTTGGCCGCATGATACCTCTAATTCCAGGACTTGAATAGCAGTGGGGCGAAGAAGGGAACCAAGCAGGACACCCCAGAGGGTCTTGATGGAAAAGGCTGCGGAAGACAAATTCCAAAACATCGGCGGACCGAAGACTGAATTGGGAGCAAAGGCCGGAGCAGAAGGAACCAGTTGTTGTTGCTTGGCATCAGGTCGCTCGCACTCGTCAGACTCGCATGACTGCCGAGAAGAAATGCAAGTTCTTAGGCAGTCCTTGCAGGCCCCGTTCAGAACCACTGACACAGAGGTGCGCACGAACGAGAACCCAGCAGAGACCGACCGCCAATGCCTGGATGGATGCCAATCTCGAGCTTTGGAATCAGAGCAATCCTGCAGTGCAGGGCACAAAGACCGGCAGTTGGAGCAATGTTTGTGACTGCTGGACCGCGGATTTAACTTGGCTCTTGCGGCAAAATCGCTGAATGATCCTGCATGCGCACCCTGCAAGTGTCGGCAGGGGTGGCCTCACGTTGCTGGCAGTGCTTGGGATCTGCGCTTGCGAGTTTCTTGTGGTGAGCATAAGGCCAGGCCGGCTCCTGGGCACAGCACAGACTCAGCAGTCTATCTGCGGTGACCAGAGCATTCGAAATCGCGACTCGCCAGCTTCCCCGTGCTTTCTCCGACAGGCCTGCGCTCTGCAGCTTTCGCAAGAGAGGGCCTCAGCCAAACTCGGAGATTGAGGACCCATGCACATCTCTTGAAGCTTGCGCAGTGCGTCGTTCGTCCCGTTCCTGCTTTTCAGCCCAAACTGACGCCATGAAGCCTGAGGCTCCACTCTGCCTTGATCGTTCTTGCAGTCGCCGTGCAGACCCCAGGAACCCAGCAGATTGAATGGGTGGGTTAAATCGGGAGTACGTAGCAAGTTTTAGCTGGTTTTAGGGGAGCTGTCGCAGTGCATTGCTCGTGCCTGCAAGACGTGGAGACAGGGGAGACACGTTCAGTAATATGTAGGCCGGGAAAGCTTGTGTCGCGTTTGGCATGTCTCGAGCTAGGCAGGTTCAGTGCCTATCAAGAAATTCCACAAGGGGGCGTAACCCGCCGTGTGACTGGGAGGCTTTTCTGCTGCACATCTTGGCATTCGTAACACAGGCTCTCGCTTTGCGGCTTTGCGTATTCCCGAGAGAAGTCTACAAAGCGCCAAGTCCTCCGAGGTCTGCGCTCAAGGCCTCCAGGGCTGCTTGGAGCAGCTCCTTTGCCAGGCATTTTCTTTTAATGCGAATCATTTCTGAAAGGGCACGTGCTGTGAAGATCGCTGTTCTTGTTCATTACCACGCATTCTTTGACCCAGCCGGGATTGCTTCTGTCAGCGCTGGGTTTGAGGGGCATGCGGGAGGTCGACGATTTCTACTTGCACCCACGGCGACCGAAGGCTCCTTGCCCAGAAGCCCGTGCACTGTTGCAAGTATCATGTGTTCCAGTATGTAGCAGTGTATCAAGTCCATGAACAGAAGCGCTTGTTGTTGGCTTCATCATGTTGCACCTTGCATTGCTTGCCGTTCAGTTCAGATTGAGCCAAAGCTTTATCTGCTCCCTGGAACCGAGTCCTGGACCCTCTGCGTGCTGGGCACGTGTTGGGACTTTTGACGATGTGCCCTGTCAGCACGGGGGTCTGTAGCAGAATATCCCACAAGCTGCATGCTTTTGAAGTTGAAGCTGCCGCCCGTTGAGCCACTGGCAAGACTTCGGTCTCACAGTGTGCTTGTTCAGAGATGGCTGATCCTAACAACTGATGCATGTGCGGCTTGGTTCAATGAGTGGCCGGACTCAAATTTTGTGTATGGGCTTTCTGCCTGTCGCAATCTTGCGATGGCGCACTTCAGTGACTGTGGCAAGCATTGCTCCCATGCATACTGCAATCAGCAGGACTTGCTCCCTTTCGAGTGCGACGCCTGTGGCAAAGCCTACTGCTCACAGCATTTCAGCTATGCAGCGCATGATTGCCCCAAGGGGCGAGCGGCCACAGACCGTCGTGTGATCGTGTGCCCACTTTGCGCTGCGTCAGTTCCTTTGGCACATGGCGAGGACGAGAACGAGGTTTGGGAAAGGCATGCCACCAGCGGAAACTGCATTCCCAAAGAGGCAGCCAAGCCGAATCGGTGCCCGGTCAAGGGTTGCAAAGAGAAGCTAACCTTCTCAAACTCGTGTAACTGCGGCACCTGCGGCGTGAAAGTATGCTTGAAGCATCGTTTCGAAGATCAGCATGACTGCCGCCCTCGCCCAACCCCGAAGCGGAATGGCAACGACCTGCTGCGGCAGTTCGCACAGCTTGTGAAAGTGAGCTGAGCAGCTTGATCTTGGAGAGCTGCTCCCCACTGCGATGCTACAAGTATTTATTCCATCTTCTAGGAAGCCTAGTTGCGCGATGGATGTGACAGAGATCTCTCCTCCTGCGCATTTGACCTTTGGTGGCTGAGTGTACAGGCAGCCGCCGCCCCCGAGTACTGGTACAGCCAACACAGACCTTGTGGCCAATGCACAGAAGCGTGCCGCTGACAAGAACACGTGCCGCCACAAAGCCTACACAGCTGTCTGAGAGGGTGAGAGATGTTCCTTCTACCGAGGCCGCCCTGAGTGAGCAGTGCCTACCGAATCGTCGGCTTTGGAGAAGTGGCGCCGAACCGCTTCTTGGTCCCTAGGCGCCGCAGCTTGCTGCAAGCTTGGATTTGTTCCAGACACCTCGGGTTCTCTCAAGCCTGTGGTGACAGTAGCATTGGCATGGCACACGCAGGCTCAGCTGCAGTTTCAGTACCTTGACTTCCCAGACAGTACAAACCCCTGCCTGTACACTTGCAACTGCACTGTCTCACTAAAGCAGGGGCTGACATTGCATTGGCTCGTAAGACTGAAGAAGATGAAAGGTGTTCTTGGACTGTAAACGCAAATGCTCTTGGCCCCCTCGGCCCGCCCGACCCAGTCCCAGAACAGCCCTACCCTGATTCGTTTTGGCACAGAGATTTGTTTGTGCAATGACCTGATGTCACTGGAATTTGGTTGCAGATGACTTGGTTGGCTTCTCGTATATTCAAATTCGCTTGAGCAATTGGCAATGCAAAAAGACCCCTTTTGGGGCAAGTCCGACTGCAGCAAGCCAGAACCACCTCGAACCTAGCGGACCTAGCCGGCTAGTCCACGGACTCCATGCGCCCTTCGCGATGGAACCGCTCGCGGCGCGCGGCCTTCGGCGGATTCCTACCATCCAGGGGTCTCGCCGGCAGATTGCTTCAAGGGTTTCACGGGAGCTATGGGGCTCTTGGAAGGCTTGGGTTTGGCTTCATCGAGATGTCGCCGTCACCGAGGGCCTGAAAGTTTTATGCCGTGGAAGGGAGGCTTCCTGCTACATTCCTGACGCATGCCGCCTACATGTCACAAGTGCATGCCTGGCAAGCTGATTTTGGAGAAAGCCTGTAGGCCTCGCCGAGCGTATTGAAGGGCCAAACTAAGAACAAAACACTTCAACTGCTGCATGTCCTTATTACGATGGTAGCTGTCAGGCCACTGAGCTTGAGCTTGCGAAAGCAGGTCCACGGCTATGTCTCCAGCAGTCCCAGGGCCAAAGCGTTGCTTTGGGAACTGCTGTGAAGCCCTTTCCGGCTCTCCTCTTCCATCTGGAGCGGGACGCGGAGCTGCAGCGATGAGGGCTAAGTTCTGGCTATCCGTCGCATGCGATCTCATCGCCTAGTGCTGTCAGGATCTGCGACCCTCAGCAGATCAGCAGGACAAAGCACAGAAGCTGGCGAGTATGGTGCGATCCGTCTGCCCGGCCCTTACAGACTATCAGCAAAACCAACCCCACCCTCTAGGCCTCGAGGCGAATGCGGACCAAACGCCTGGAGTTACGCAGCTCCATGTAACTTTCATCAGCTCCTTGAAGACCTTGGAAGGTTGGAGGTTATGAACATCCCGCCACCAGAATCTCGACATTAAAGAGAAGCGAGTGTCGTGCGTCCAAGGTGAGCAGCTTGATGGCGAGACCCACTGCTACGGATCGTGTAGCAACGGGACCTTCATGCAAGGATCTGCCACTTGCTGGCAATCTTGGCTCAATGGTGTGGCTCTTTCTTCTACTCATCCCGTGACATGTTAAAAGGTGTACTTTTGCGGAGCATTGTCGTGGTAACATTATAGCTGGCTATGAAACACACTTGGGGTGCTTTCTGACAGCTACTCTCCGTCTGCTCCAAGGATGTTGATCTCACGTGGCTGTGTGACCAAAACAAAGTGGCCAAAAGAGGCCTTGTCTCACAGGAGCGACAGAACTTGATTTGCACGTTGGTTCTCAATCGATCAGTTTTCAGTGTACCTGTTATGGGTACAGCAGGACGATGTGCCAAAATACGAAGTGTGTAGTCGGGCTTGTGAGGAGCTTCGGGCGCCGACCGATGCGAAGCCTGGTCCGGGGAACGCTGCAAGCTCCTTGCCTGCGCCAAACCGCCATGACAGAGTCAGCAACTCGTGATTCTGCGCCTCGCGAGGTTCTGGACTGCGCAAGGCAGCCCCTGCTCAGCAAATGCTTCTGGAGCTGGAAGCTCTCGTGCCACCACCGCCGCCAAATGCAGTCCAACTGCCCCCGACACCATCGGCCTTGGAGCATCAAGCTCTGATTCCGCCAACCCGAGCGCGGAGGAGACCCAGTCCTCCCAAACCTCGCCCAGCTTCAGCACCTTCCACACCAGAGACAACGACAGTTGCAGCCCAGCCAGAGTCAGAGCCCTTTCCAGCTCCACCGGAAGAAACATCAGATCCAGAGGCTTCGCCGGAGGCCGGGAGCCGCCACTCTGCGTGGAAATACGAGATACCTCCTTGTGGCGCTCTGAGCTGAGGTCTCTGAGTCCCGGGCCCAGGCCCAGGACTTGCAGCCGCTCAGCGGCCTCAGCGGCCTGCCAATGCCACCGCCGCCTCCCGTTGTCGCCGTCTCTCCGCCAGAAGAGCCGAGGGACAGACGTTTGGACTGCAACAAAACAGCGCTGTCTTCTGCAAGTGCAGGCCTGCAGCCTGCTTGTTACTCAAAGCTGAGGCATCTCTGCACGCCTTGTCCAGTTTCGGGCGCTGCGGCTGTTGAGGGCGAAGGTGGGCTCGGGTCAAGCGAGAGACATCGTGAGGCTGCAAACATTGTTTAGTGGAAGCCGGCCATCTTAGGAGTTTGAATCCTCAGAGAAGCTTGGGGAAGTGAAGGTGACCATCATACGGGCTCCGTGCATTGCAAGGGTTCTGCGTAAAGGCTCGTTCGACTTGCAGTCATTTACTTTGGCCGTGTTTGTGTTTCTTGCTCGGGCACACCCAGCTTGCTCCAATTATCTCGAAGTCTCGGTCGAACTGCCATTGCACACCTGACCGGGGGTTGGTTGGCACTTGACGTAGAAGTGCAGACCGGTTCCTGCATTCAACCATAGTCAACCTCAAGCCTGGCGGAAGGCCAGGGGTGCACGGGACCCGTCGCCTTCGTCCCACCATCATAAGACAAATGACACCGCCCTTCTGAAGAGAACTCGATCGGTGGGTCACATCGCGGCGCCCAGCTCAGGGAGCAGCGTTCGTCGTGAACCCAGCGCTGCCGTGCTATTGGTATTCATTCCCGTGAAGTCGCAACTGCAGGCTGAGCGATTCACTTTCGAGGGTGTGGAGCCATTCGCCTGCATCCAGGCAGTCCTTGGACATGCTCCCTCGTCGGAATCAGCTTGACACAAGCAGTGAGGAGTGCTTCTGTTAGAGGCAGAAAAGCAGCAATCAAACTTTGCAGTGAGAATGATGACTAACCTTACTGCCATACTTGCCGCTCGCCTGAGTATACAGTGTAATTACGAGGGGAGGGGTGCAGTAATGGTGGTGGTGTTGATGGTGATGGAATCTGTACCGTCACATCCTGTCGCAGAGTCAATGGCACTTCCGACATTCTGCATTAGTGTCCAGGTCGGATTTCCCCTGGGTCTTGTGATCATGATTGAATGCGCCGCCTGCTGCCTGCAAGGAAACTGTATGTTATCCGTGCCCGGGTTCCCGTGCTGAAATTCTTCGGCAGCGACGAAGAGGTTCTTTGCGACGTCTCTGTCAACAACCACGAAGGCCTGCAAACACATGACCCTTCTCCTGCTGCTTGTGTTTGGTGCTACAACCTTGTACCACCAGAAATGTGTCCTGCCGGCGGGAGATATTTGGGAGCTTGGGGTCAGTGTGCAGGTAGAAGGTATGTTGACGGCTTCTCCCTCGCATGCCAGAGTGACGAATATGGATATCTCATGATCATTCTGGGGTTCATACCAGAAGCAAGTGAAGAATCAGTTCTTTCCCCGGAATCCACCGTTTCAAATCTGATTGAGTCAGCTAGACTCGTTGGTACTGGCGATTCAGGCATAGGACAAGACAACTCGAACGTGTTTCCCCTTCGCACTTCGGTATGGGTACTGACATGGGCAGAACTGGACTATGGCGTTGATGCGACGCGACCACCAGCCTGTCACCAGACCCAACGACTACTGCTGTTGTTTCTGCTGCTGGCTCTGTCTCTCCTCCACTACCTCCTCGTCGTACTTCTGCTGCGACTGCTACTGATCCCGCACCTGCTCTTGCTGCTGCTGCTGCTGCTGCTGCTGCTGCTGCTCCACTGCGACTGCGACGATGACAACGACGACTGACACTGCCCGTGCCACTGCCAGTATACTGCCTGCTTAGTTGTCTCACTTGCTATCACTGCTCCCTCATCCCTGGATGAAGGTCTGCAGAACAGTCGCCTAGTGCAAGGCTTGTGCAAGATGGAGCCGCTGCTGGGTCCTGCAACCCGGCCAACAGTATTGCAGATACTGAACTTCTCAGCACTGCTGAAGTATCCGCCCCTTCGCCTTTAAAGTTGTGCTGTTCGACCTGCTTCATAACGGCGCGGAGCTTCGCCATGGGGTCGCCCCGTCGGTTCAGAACCCCAAAATCCAGGTCGCCGTCACGAATCACTTCGGCAGCAGCAGCGTAGAGAAACAGTGCTTAAGGTCTGCCTGCCCAGGTGGTGCGGCTCCTGAAGCACTGGGCCCGCCGGCGGCAGCTGGGCGACCGAGCCAAAGGCATCGCTCGCCGGGGCAATGCCTTCTGAAATCGAGCCCAAGGCCAGGCCATGTCTTGCCTCGGGAAAAGCACCCGGAAGGCGGATTCAGCACCTACACTCTGGTCCTGATGGCCGTAAAGGTGCTACAGGAAAGCAAAGCTTGCAAGCTGCCTGCGCATTCAGTTCAAGAGTTGCTTGGATCAACTGTTTTGGTCGCTGTACTGCCAGCTGGAACTAGCTTTGGCGCCACATGGTCAAGTAGGCCCGAGTCGAAGGGTCGAAGGCCACTGCAAGCAACCATCAGCTGCATCTCTTGTGGTTGCCCAGGCTTGTACTGAAAGTGCAGGAGGACTCTTCACCAGAGCCGCTGCAGATTTGGATGCAGGCCGTGGCGACCCTTGAACTCCGAAGCATTTGTTCTCCTGCAAACACTGCTCCGTCTCTTTCCTCGGATAGCTCAATTCCCAAGACATTCGTCCCGTGCAGCAGTGAACGCATTGCAGAAGCGATGCAGCTCGCGACATTACGTTTAGGGAGCGGCTGGCTCCATCGATGTCTTGAAGCAGCTGTGTAGTGTCTTCTTGGAGTCGCTCTTGCGAGGCCAAGAAAGACAAGCTCTGCACTCCCAAAATGCTGGAAAAGACGTTCGTGGCATTTTTTGACTCTCGCCTGCAAAATTGGCACACACACACACACACCCAAGTGGGTCACATAACTACCTGTCGTTGTCAATTCGAATTCCCATATACAGCGCAGGGCACAGAGAAAGAGAGGGAGAAGAAAAGGCAGAAAATGGCAATAAGCATCATCAGAGGAAGGAAGAGAGCGAAGACTTGGAAGAAAGAAAGATTCAGTAGGGTGGTGCGATAAAAGCCCAGTGCCAGCACGGACAACGGTGGCTCCTAGAGACGCATGCGCGATGTGTTTCGACTTGCGTGTCCGACGGTGATCGCATCGATGTAATCCACATCGAAGTGCACAGTGTTCAGAGAGAGCACATTCTCAAGATCTCCGACTGCGAGGATTACTTCGCGCAGCCAGCCTGGAGCTCCGGCGGAATCGTTCGGGTGGCTCCGGCAGCTGCCTCCGAACAGGATAAGGACCCGCTACTGCCCAGTGGCCCAGCATTCCAGTGATAGCTCGGGGGCGCTCCCCGAAGTAGGCAAACGCGACATTCGAGTCGCTTACATGAGTTTAGGGAAACCCCTTGTTGGTCACGACTCTATCGGAGCACTTGGCGCTTGAGCTTCCCAGCTCAGAATGAAGCACTTTTGCTTCGGAAAGGAGGAATCGGACTGCAGCCCGCAGGCACCCCCTCCTCCGCCTCTGGAGGTCCTCCGAGTGCCTCGGGTGAAGACTAGACTTGTCGCCGGCTTTTCGGTGCCCTCAGCTTGGTGTTCATGCTGAACTTGAGGTGGTTTGCCCGCTGACCCAAATCGACGTGCAGAGGCACTGCGGAATTCTGTCACAGTAGCATCAGTAGCATGCAGCATGTGCTCTCGTCACATTGTGTGTGGCCACGGCTCAATCAAGCTGGCTCGCAGTGTTTTCTGGCTGGGTACGTTGGCTTCAAATCATTGTGAACCGACTTGCTGCAGGAGCAAAGCCCAAGAGTGGCAGCACATGGCGAAGGAGATTTCCCGCGCAAGCCAAATTCTAAGGCGTCTGGCGCGTGACACCTTTGTGTTGCTTGTGACTGCACTGCCAGCAAGCATGCGACGCGTGGCCTGACAGGAATCTGCAACTGGACAGCCAGCTACGGCTGGATGAGCTGTTCAAGGCAATTCAGCCATAACATCCCATAGTCGTGACGGCTTAATTGGTGCTTACTTGCATGCAGTCTGCAAGGAACCGCAAGAGCCGCCCTCGGCGCCGGAGTCGCCCCCTGAGTCGACACCGGAGCCTGTGGATGTGCTTCCCGGGCGCATTACAGAAGAGGCTCGTTTTGGGATCTGACTTGTCGGTTTGATATTGGAGGACTTGGAGGTCATAGTCTTAGTCTTGCCAGGATGCCGAAGAGGGGGCTGCCGCTGACAGCACAGAGTCTGTCATGCCCCTGCCTCAGATCGTCAAAAGATATAAGCCTGAAGCTTGTTGCATCTGTTCATTTCTCCCTTACCAAGCAAGCTTGTGCCCATGCTGAGTAAGTGCCAGGCAATACGGCGCTGCAGACAGCTTTCGGGAGGGGACCGGGCTCAACAGCGACGCGACGGTACTGGCCTGCTGACCTGACAACGTTAGTGCCAGCATAGCTTCTCGCTGCACCGCGAAAAGACAGGCCGTTGCCAGTCGTTTCGGTGGGAGATCTCTACACAGCTTTCAGCTGATTCTATGCATGGTGCTGAACTGAAGAATCTACCAACTGGAATGGTGTAGTTCGGCTTCGCGGCGCAACCAGTCGCAGTTTTGCACAACGACTTCTGCCAGCAGCTCCCGTTCTTGCCGGCTTGCTCGTTCGACCCTGTTTGGGCTCGCAGCACAGCATCGCCTCCCTTGGTGGGTTGGAGGCAGGAGGATGCTGAAGCCCGTGTGCACAGTTCTGTCACAGTACTGTGCATGGCTTCGATTTACATTGAGCCACGCAGGCGAGACAATGAAAGCGTGAACGCACCCGCATCCACTTGCCTCTTCTTTCATGTCCTTTTTCAGCAAGGAAAGCCCAAAACGGCAGCAATTGCCAGGCCATGGCCAGTGCTGCAGTACGAGTCACCGGAACCTTGGCCTAACTTGTAGAAGCGAAGTCGCCAGCCGTGACTTAAAAGTCGAACATAGTGGACATATGAGGCTTGCTGTGCCTGATTTGGAGACGTGTGCTGATGTCTTGCATTGACCACTTCACTCCTGTGTGTGTTCAATCTGAGGCAAGGATGTTGTGACCGAGCAGGACTTGTGCAGCACTGACAGCGGGACTAGCTCCTTGGACTCTGTCGCTTGCAGCACAGCCAGGCCTGCAAAAGCAGCCATGCTGTATCAGAAAAAGATCTAGAACCTAGACCTGGAAACCTGAACACCTGACAGACTCATTCGGGGATGATCCGGTAAATTTTTGGACGATATAGAGAGATGAGCATGGCCCCTGCGGAAGGATGACACGGACACATCGAGAAGTGCACCAAAACATCCCCTGACTCGAAAAAAGCCTGATCCCATCGTAATATAATATAGTACAATACGATAGAATACAATTTCATACCATCCATGCCTGCCGAGTGAGTCATCGGATCTGCTATGCGGAAGCCCACCCAAGCTTCGTATAGTGTAATATAAACTTGAGGAGACATCGGCTTTTGAGCGATTGCCGAGGCTGCTCTTCGGCCACCTCCGCCGGCGCCTCCGTAGGAGCTGCCGAGCCAAGGTGCCTTGGACAAGGTCTTCTAAAGTCCGGGCTGCTCTGAGCTCTGATGTCAAGTTTCGGTTCCTCCTTTGGGAATGTTGATGCTGCAGGTCTACCCGGCCGTACGACAAGGCAAGGCTTCACCATGTCCCTCCCGCAGAGCTCCAACACGCCCCGCCAACCATGTCCGATCATCGGCACTGCGGGTGCTGGATTTTGAGATGCCTAGCCGAAGGTTGATGGCCGACCAGATGCAGGTTTAGATCCTCGATGTACGAACTTGAACTACTTTCATGCTGCCTGGCCGCAGGTGCTAGTAGTTTCGTGGTCAAAGCACCGAGAACCGCTCAATGGGGATCTGGAGGGTTGCACTTGCTCCGCCGGTGTGACGCAGCCAGCTGCTTCCGCTTGGTGCAAGTTTTGTGGTCTGACTTGGATCTGAGGATTTTGCTAGCATTGACAGCCTAATTTCGACCGGCCGCTTTACAAAAAGAGTCTTGGCAGGATTCGTGCAAGATGGTGCAAGCAACACTGATAAGGATACATACATCAAATGAGGGATCGTCAAACGCCGAACGTCCCGATTTGAATCATCTTGGATGTCTCAGATTGCCGTTTGCAGTTGCTCACTTAAGGAAAAGATCTGAGTGATTGCTGCAGAGGACAGGGAAAAGTCGAGTTGCATTCGATGACGCTTGGACCTGATTTCACCTGGGTCGTAGTTGGAGGTGCTCGTGTCCTGAAGCCTCCAGCCAGAATCTAAATATCTTCTTCTGTTGAGTTGGCCTTAGCAGAGGTAAATTGGTCACCGAACATGTGTGTGTGTGGAATCGGAACATATTAAATATCCAGATAGGCAGCGCCCGTCGAAGCAGTGGCCAGCAAGCGAAGGTCCTCCGAAGACCATGACGAGCTCGTCGTGGCATCCCCCTCAGCCTGCAAGTTCGATGCCAGCCGTAGGGCGTAGGGTCGGCACAGTATCAGAGCGCAGAGCCTTTCGATGAGTGCGCATGTGAGCCGTGTGAGCTGTTCTGAGGTCAAGAAGCTGCCCGCAGAGCGCGTCAACATAAATAGAGGCCCGGGCTCTTGGCACCGAGCGAGCATGACTTGCGAATACGGCGACCTGAGCTAAGTGTTGAATCGATAGTGGCTGTTGACGACAAGTCTCCTTCAGAGTCCTTGCTTGGCAGGGAAGCCCGGAAGTGAGCTCGCAATGCATCAGCGGTCTATTTCGCGTGACTCGGAGGACCGTCTCTCCGGTCTTCTTCGCAGCCACGATAAACCATGCGGTGTCGCGGGACATACGTGAAACACAGGATCCGCTGGCCGAGATCGGTGTGTTCAGCCTCCTGTGCTTGACTCAGAGATGTGCTTCCAGACTCCAGGCATGCTCACATGATGAACAGGTGCGTATTGAACAGCATCTGTAAGTACAAATACACAATGCACAAAGGCGCCAGAGCGAAAATGCACCCCAGCGACCTGCCAGCAAAAGCATGGAGATCGGCAGTGGTCAATTTTCATGCTTGCCAGACTTCTCCCATGGGACCCAGGTATTTGCTGGAGATGCTGTCCGCATTTCAAGTTAGCGAGGAGATCTGGCTAGTCCTCGAGAACGCAGATGGCGGTGATCTTTTCGGCTGCTGGTTTGCATCTACCAGATTTGAAGGGGCTTCTGCCATGCCACAGTTGCAGGTAACACGCATTCGCCGTGTAGTGGCTTTCACCCACCCCTTGCAAACAGCAAGCCATGCAAGGATTGAAGGTTTACACGTGATCGAAAGGCTAGTGAGTGCCCAGACTTTCACCCACCTGATATAGCAGGTGTGGTGTCCTCCCGGCGAATGTCCACCGGACAGATCATGCTTTGGGCCTGGCAGCTGCTCCAAGCTGTGAAGTTTCTACATTTGCACGGCATCCCGGTTCATCGATATCTTTCGGCTCACCTTTATAATGTTGAACCTCGACGAGCCTGAGCATGAAAACAAGCTTGGAGATTCTGCCGCTCAACCCAGGCATCAGCCACCGTGATATCTCCTTGGAGAACGTGCTGCTAAGCGGTGGAGATGTTCGGCTCATGGACTTCGGGCAAGCAGTGCAGACACACCTGGAAACAGGCTTGCAGCACTCCCTTTCTGATGAAAGAAAAGGCTTGCTTGCGGTTTTCCCATCGTAGCAAAAGCATGGCTGTGGCTGTTCAATCGAAAGTGGTTCTGCTGGTCATTGTGTTGCAACAATCGCACTGCAAGACCTCTCTGCAACACTGCCGCCAGGCGAGCTTTGTCGATACTTTGTTCCGGCGGGGAAGCCTTACTATCGGCCACCAGAGGCCTACATCCCAAATCAAGGAATCCCGTCGCGAAGTGTTACGAAGCCTTCTATCCATGGCTGGCAGTACTTTCCGAAACGTCCCGACGTTGTGATGATACTGACTCCCGAGGAACGCTGGCAGTAATTTCGCCTGCCAGTTCTCGAGCGGGACAGGTTGCTTTGGCGCTGACCTCGGCGCAGGACATGCAGCAAGAGGTTGTAAAAAGGGGGTTTCCGGACCACGGTCCGAGGGCTGAGTGGGGTGATTGTACATGCCGGGCTTATGACATGAGCTGCGGGGACGACTTTGGTTGCTGTTGTTCCTCGAGGACTTCCTGTGTCATGTGCGCCTGTTGGAAGCGGCTGAGCCTGGACAGCTTTGTGCAGCAGAGCCCTGGGGATACACAGCTCCGCCAATCGACATTTTTGCATGTGCCGTTGGTGCCTCAGTGGCTTTCTCTGTCCAAGATGAGATGGTTGGGAGGCGGACTTCTGGAGAGATGAGGGTCTGTGCGGCAGTCCTTGGCAGCAAGCTCAGGTCTGCATCACCATTATGTTCCTTGCAGGGCCGCCCTGGCGACAGGCCTGTCATTCATGCCGCAAGCAGAGCATGTCCACCTTGTCAGAGCTTTACACAAACCGAGGCACGGCCCACAGACAAGTATTTCCAGTGGGTCCAAAGCAACGGTCTTGGGGCCTTGGCCACTTCCTGGAAGAAGGACTCCAGAGATTGAGGGATTGGGTGCATGGGGGGAGTTCAGAATTTATGTCGTGCTTTCTGATTTCTGAAATCCAGCAGAATCCAGCAGGCAGTGCCATCGTCAGCTTCAGAGTTGCTGGGCCAGATGATGCAAACGGACCCTGAACGACGACCCGCCACTTGACGTGTCATCGTGGCATTTCCTTCCTTCGTACTTCATACTCGATTACTCGATGAGTCCATTCGATGAAGACTCCAAGGCTATAGAGGGCTGCCTCGCTCATGCCTGGTTTGGGCCGCTTCGATCGGCGCCAGTGGCCCTCCGTGATAGCACCGGGTTCGGCAAAGCGAGTCCTGCGTCCCCACGCCTGGCCGGGGACTGTGATGGCCCCGGTTCCTGACAGATGGGAGACGAAGCGGATGTGAACTGGAGCCGAGGCTACCGCGAACAGGAGTGGGTGTGCCGATCTCTTCCAAGCCTGTCCGTGGCACCAGAAGTGTTGGAGGCTGCCTGGCTGCACAGAGGCTGCATCGATACCATGGAAGAACTGGGGATGTTGCTTATTAGAGCAACTCAGAAAGCAACAGCAGGTAAATCAAGGGTACTGTAGGCCATCTTAGCTGCAAACATTTCACCAGACAGCCGCGCATACTGGAATAAGATGCCACGATGGCTGCTTGAGTTTGCAGGACAGCTAACATGGCAGATTATAGCAATGACTTTGCTCAGGCATGCGCTTCGTCCGTCGGCCCAGAGTTTGACGTCCTGGGCGATCCTTACCGAGACATTCAGCCATGGAGCGCGGAGTTGTGCCTTGGCCTCCCTCATAGCAGAGGCTCCCATGTCCGACAAGATGATTCCCAGGCATCTGCCAACTCAAGCCGATGCAGAGATCGCTGGACTCCTTTGTGACGCACCACCGCCTCTGCCCCTGGTGCGGGAAGACAGGACTGGCACAGAGAAAACCCGCAGGAAGGCGATCTTCGTTTGAGCCCAGTGCCGGCAAGTCAAAATGGTAAATCATATTGGATCAGACAGCCCCCTCCTCGCTGATGCAGGACTGAAATCAGAAAGCAACTCGGCGTCGAAAATATATTGCAGATGCATGTCTTCCAATCAGGAAAGGTGGCAGGCGGGCAACCTTCAACCATTGCCTTTGACAAATCTGCGTTGAAAGATTCAAAGCCCCAGGATTGAGGCGGAGGTTGGCCGGGTCTTGCAAGTCGCGTCGGCCTCGCCTGGTAAAGCTGACTGCAGGCAAGGCTTTTGGCACGATGAGCACAATTTGAGTGTCGGACGCACACTGCCACGATGAAAATTGATTAGACACTTTGCAGGTGTGAGCAGGTTAAAGTTGGTACTCGAGCATTAGTTCAGTGAGTGGTCCCGCGTGTGCGGCGATCCCTGCTGCTAGGCCTGCCGACGTCGCCGACGACCAGGTAATCGTCAAGTCTCGCTTTTTGTAGTGTCTGATCGCCCGGCGCGGACATTTCAGGACATGCCGAGATCCTCTGCAATGGAGACCAAGCTGGCTTCTGCAATGCCTTCTTTGCCTCCACTTGGACGCAGCAGACACTGGCACGGCAAAACATGTTAGCCGTAGCCGTGGCGATGGTAGCGCAGAATGTTATGCAGCGGGTCTTGCCTCTATCTGAAGCCGGAATACATGGACTTTTGTCTCCAGCGTGTCTCCTCGTCACACCCACATCACAACAACAGCAACTCCAACCTTCGCGATACTATGGGGTCCCGCCGTGGAGTGTGGCCCGAGATGTGCCAACCTTGCAGCCGCAGTTGCACCACGAAGCACCGGCTAGATTGCAGGCATGGCCCATGGCTATGCTATCAAGGTGCTTGTATGCGGGGTTTTGGGTTTCCTCCTTTCTTCGATGCTCCTCTCAGGATCCGAAGCCTCGGCCTCCCCGCGCTGCCTCGCCGGGTCACCAGCCCAAGCGCTGCGCGCGCTGCGGAAGACCAGCTCGGGTGCACCGGAGAGTTCGTCAGATCACAAATATAATGGTGGTGACGTGAGATGATAGTCATGATTCGGTGGTGGTGCTGGTGCTGGTGC